GCAACAAAGCAAATAAGTATAAACCGACCAAGAAGGCCGGCGATGTTCATGAAGTACAACCAACGGGCGCGCAGGCCCAAAAAATACGAACAGGCACGCAGGCCCAAAACAAATATCAATAAGGAACGCAGGCCCATCATCATTTTACAATCCGGTTTCCCCGGAGCCATCATCACCAACAACAGGAGAGTCGGGCGGGGGCACGATCGCGCCATCCACGATCTGAGACATGTAGCCCGTCCCTTCAGTGATCAAACCGGGATTCAGCAAGGAAAGCTGGCTGACCGCGGAGTCGAACCCCTCCTCCATAGCGCCGACGCAATCTGCTTCGAGGAGCCGGATGTGAGCGACCAGCTCCGAGCGACTCTTCAAAGCGGCTATATCCTCCGGCTCATCCTCGGCAGGAAGCATGGCGACTTTCAGGTCCTCGATCTCTTGGGTTAGGCCCCCGATGTCGGTTTCCATACGCTCCCGGTCTGCACGGAGAAGCTCTCTCTCCTCGGCTAACTTCCCCGAGTTTTCCTTCTCCAGAGTCAACATCTCTCTCTCGGCAGCCAGCAGCGATGCTTGCTCCCGGAACATCTCCTCGGAGCGCTCCAGGGCAGTCCTTAACTTTCGCGAGCTCGAGGTGAGGGCCACTTTCTCCTGTTCCAATTCTTCAATTCGGACAGGATCCTCCCCTTCCTCGGACAGCACAACGGCCATTTCAGTCATTTTCACCAGCCCGGCCATATTGGCGGCCAGGTGCCTCCTCCGGTCCTCCTTGCTCATCCTCTTGATAGCCTCAGCCTCATCGGCAGTCACGGACAAAGGGAACCCCTCGAAGAAACCCTACTCTTTGAAGCAAGGGGGCAACCCGAAGGACCTTACGGCGCTGGAATCCTCGCCGACCGTCGGCCCACTTTCCACCCGATTCCTTTTTCTTGGTATCAGGTCGGCATGTGGCTCGACCTCCTGGACCTCTGAGGTCTCTTCCGAAGCAGCCCCCGAGCTAGGCGACGAATCCACCCTCACCATATGAGGAGCGCCCGGACTATGTGGCGGGCCCATCCTCGTTGCTTGGGGAGCCTTCACCACCCTCTTGCCCCGCTTCTGGTTGCAAGACAGCTTCAAGAGTCTCTCCCGTCGCCCGACCATCGAACCTGCACAAAATAAAAAACCGGGTTAGTGTCGAGCAAATAAGCAGACAAATGACAAGCAAAGAAATTCAAGCAACAAACGACCTAGCAGACGAGCAGCCTGCCCGAATGACTGGCACTCCACGAGCGCCTTAGTATCGATCGGTCGGGCCTCGAATGTCGGATAACCCTCCTCGTCCAGGACATCTTCCCCCTCCCTTGTAGCCCACCTGGCGGGGTGGAAGCTATCAACGTACCGACAAAGAGTGTCATAAGCTTTCTCATCCTCGGAACCCATGTCGCCCGCAGAAGTATGATAATATCCAGTTCCGTGCTCGTAATGCCTAGAAATCCAATGCACGGGGAACTTGGCCGTGCGTCCCAACACCGGATACCCGTCGTTGTCTAAAAGTGCCTCCCCGTCATCGTCGCTTATCGGCGCTTCCTCCTCGTACAGGGACTCTAAAGCGGCTGTCGTGACCGGCCTCACGACATACCACTTGTCTTTAAAACCCCGCACGGAGTCCATGTACATCTTGAATAGTCTCTTCGACTGTTTCAGGGAGACCCAACTGTGCTTTCCTCCCCGGGACTGGCGCTGCAGATGGAAGATTCTGAAGAAGAGAGGTATAGTCGCCCCGATCCTCAGAAAACGACAGGTCAGCTCAAACGCCCGGATAAAGGCGAGCGAGTTCGGGTGTAGCTGCGACGGGGCCAGCCCCAAATGGGCGAAGACCCCCGCTTGAAAGTCGCTGAAGGGCAGCTGCAACCCAAGGTCTTTGAATGCAATTTCGTACATGGGGAAACTGTACTCTGGGTACACCGAGCAAATCCGAGCAGTGGAGGTCGGTCGCGTAACGACGAAATTCTTTTGAAAATCAGGCTGGCCGTGGCTCGCCTCAAGGACAGCGTATGGCTTTCGGCTACGCCAACTATAGACCGAGGCGATTCCTCTAGGCTCGGCGCCCACCCAGTCCAACAGAGGGTCTTCTACGGTGTCGATCAAACTCACAGCTTCATCGGCACTTTGTTCCTCCCTTTCGGGGCGTCCAGAAGAGCACGGCTCGTCCGCCATGGTTACCTACAGAGCACGGGAAACCAGTCAATTGGGCACGAAACCATACGCTCGTCGTAACGGACAAGATGGAGTGCGCGACAAACCACGTCGCTCTACGCACGACCACAGTTGGTTTGAAACAAAAATAGCAGTCGCCTCCCCGACTTCCAGATACCTCGACGGGCCCTTCTGCAAGCCGCCTAAACAAACCGACAACGCGGTCACTCATGAATACGCCGACCCGGGGTATGAACATGGCGAGCAACATCATAAAGCCTAAAGCCAGAGCCATGAGCATACCGGGCACGATCGTGAATTAGGCGCTCTGGATCATGAAGACCCCGGGCAGCACTGCAGATTATAATCTAAACCGTGCATCTATCGGCCACGAGCATGTGTTTGCCGACCCTAAGCATGAATTTGTCGGGCTAAACATGAATTTACCGGGCTAGTCCCACGCGCACAGCCTCTAAAACGTCTAAAAACAATGAAAATCACGCATCACAACAGAAAAACAGAGAAGATAAGTCACTTACTTGGAATCAAGGAGTAGATTCGGCAACGGAGGTAAGGAATCGGTGACGGAGATCGCGGCGATGCTATGAGAATCTGGAAAAACAACAGCAGCAGAAGGGCGAAGAGTAGTAACGCGTTATGGGGCCCAAGGATCCTATTTATAGTGATGACGTGGAATACCAAACGTCACCCCGGGCAACCACAGAGTTTCTCTCCTCGACGCACGGCTCCCCTAGGTAATAATGACCCTATCCTCATAGGGTGGCGGCACAGTTCCCAAAAGATACCTCACGTGCTCGACAGACGCGCGCCGTTGAGGAATCCCCGAGCATTCCCCGCGAAGGACTTGTCTCCGAGCACGATACGGGGAAGCCCTCGAGGAGCTGCGTCTCTGACCCGGGCACGAGGCCCCGAAACGGAAGCAACCTAAGATCAAGCCATGGCTCCTAACCCAAGGAACCACGACTTGGGGGGCTCCTGTTCTGGACTGGGCCCGACTGGCCCAATAGCATTGATAAGGCCCAATCCAAACGGACTTGCTGGGGGTCACGCCGACCAAAGGGTCACAGTCGTGCCCGACGTGCTCCCTGGGGCTACTTGCTCGACCGCTACTGTCCAGCTCGACCTCACCCCCGAGCACCCCTCTTAGGGCAGACTCGGTCCACTGTACTCTCACGGGACTCCGAAAAGACCGCGTCTTTGTCCGCCCGCACTTCACGCAGAACATCCAGGGAGGGGACCACGTGCGGGTCCCCACTACGCACGTAGAACCTGGCAGTTCCTCCATTGGGCCAAACCTGCCTGGCCCAATGAAGGAACCTTGGCCCAACGCTTGAGGCTATAAATACCCTCTGTTTCCAGAGGGTCAGGTATTCATCATTCTACCCATACTTACTATTGCCTGCTCGTACTCTTACTTCAGCATCGGAGTGTCTTGCAGGTACCCCCCCCCCACCTCGTTCAAACTTTCAGCTCGGAGCCAGCCGTGACGGTCCAAGTCTGATCAGGTTAGATCAATATACAAAAGAGTAGGGGTGACAAACGTGCATGTCTGTCCCATTTAGACCCGTTCCGCAAAAGCTCGTAAAAAATGAGGCAGGCATAGTTGAGGATGCAGACCTAAAATCTAGACCCGCCCTGTAAAAAAGTGAGTGTGGTGCAGAGAAAGTCTGCGGACACTGCACATTTTAAGCTTAAAAATTTAAAATTTTATGCTAATGCTCATACCCGCAAAAGTCTGCGGAAAAAACGGGACGAAACTGGACGGTCACATTAGAAAGTGAGAGCTTGAAATCTTGGTCTTTCCTAACTAAAGTGTAGGTAAAACGGATATATCCAACACATCGGATCTGTTTTATCACCCCTACAAAAAAATTTCTCATCTTATTGTATTTTTCACAAATACAACGACAAAAACAACATTTATTTTTTTTTAAATAATATTCTCACACTTTTTGATAACATTTTTTAAAATTAAAAAAAAAAAAAACCAAATACATTTAATAATATTCAATTTTCAAAAGTTTTTAATATTTTACAATTATTTATAAATTTAATTTGTATAAATATATATTTGAATGTTCTTTCGTAAAATATTTCATGAGACCTCACTATGACAAATACAACTTTTAAATATTTAACTATCATTTATTTATAATAATATTTAAAATATTTAAATGTATTATTTAATATCTGAATATTATTTTAAAATATTAAATATTTAAACGTGTTCAAAATTATTTAAAATTTTAAATAGTTTTCATGAATATCATTTTTGAAATATTTTTCTTTTTGTAAGTTGTGATTTTAACTATATTTTTACAATATATCCTTTTTTAAAAATTGAGATTTTGACTATATGTTAATCTTTAATAATATATATTTATAATATAAAATAGAAAAATTAATTTTTCAATATATAAAAAAAAAATTGAAAACTTTTAATACTTTCAAAAAAACATTTTTATAAAAATTATTTTTGAAAATACAAAGAAAAAATTAATTTTTTTAAAACTAAAACAATCAGATCATTTATCAACTTTATGAATTTATCTGATTTGTTGGTTTAACCATGAAATAGTTCATTCAATTAAAAGTGTTTACTATTTATGATTCAAAATAAATAATATAATATTTGAAACACGTTACACTAACATCCGCTCAAATCTCCCCAAGACAACCCTATTACAAAAAGGTTAAATACTGCTCCATTATAAAATAGACCAAAAAACTGAAAATAACTCAAGATGGAGCTCAAAAGAAGTAGGGTAAATAAGAACCAAGTGTCAAAATTCATTTGGTAACAAAAGTTATGTTTGGAACCATTTTCTAAGCTGTTTAGACTGTCTTTTCTCACCATCATTTCCTTGGGAGCCCTTGTTTGAGAACTTGGATCTATATTGTTCTATAAGCATGTCAAGGTTATCTACTGTGTCCTTTCCTACTAAATCTTTATTCTTCTTTGCCCTTTTCCTAGTAACCTGTTCCCCTGCCTGTTCTTGGTTCTGCATCTTCCTCTTTCCATATACCACGTCATCTTTCTTTCCTGACTTTTTTCCGATACTACTGTCAATGGCAGTGTTTTTATTGTGATTCCGGCCATCTTGGTTATTCGCTAACTTCCTGGCCGAAGAATCTTTTGGATTTCCTTTGGATGATAACACTTCCGTATTTGTATTCTTGGGGTTGTCTTTCTGTCTTTTGAATTTGCCTCCTTGAGGAGATTTTCCATTTGTCACTTCAGTACCTTGTTCACTCTCATTTGCAGGTTTCTCGTGCTCTTGAGATTTCCGTTTTCTGTCAGTTCCATGTCTGTAACCTCCTTCTGCGTTGTCGGGTTTATCATTTTCGTTTTTGTTGTTGTCATCATAAGGAGCCTGCTGCTGATATTGCAGCTTTTCCTTCCGAAGCTTCAATGTCTGAACATTATCAAGGGCAAACTCCACGATCGGCCGATGTTCAGGACCAAACGTTTCTGTGGTCAATGAAAGACAGCATTAGACTACACACAAAAAACACGTGTGGTGCACCTACCAACTTGTGAGGTGTGACTTTTGGAAGACCTCATTGATAAAAAGAGAAATGTCAGAAATACATTTTCTTGAACACTTCTTTCTCAGATACACATTTTATGATTGATTCAATTTTTTTTTAAAAGTGATCAATTTACAAAGCTAGTATTTCCTTATTAAGAAATGGATGTTATTATTACCAGGATTATTGTTAAGAACTCTCAATGCAACAAGGGCGTGCTGGTGTTCTGAAAATTCAAGAAAGGCAACTCCACGGGAATACTGTTCTTGAGTAGCTTTTCCTTTCCTTCCATCTTTCAAAAGCTTTATCTGCAAAGTACATTTGCAACATATAAATTAGAATGGTTCCTGAAGTTATACAAAAACAATAATTGACAACTTCAAGTCATGGCCTATTTAACCAACCTGTCGAATGACAGGTTTTTGCTTGGTAGCTCTAGAGATGACTGCATCAATGCAAAGCTTCTTTAGTTGTTTCTCAGTCTTTGACTTGGGTAAGTTGTAGATAACAAGTCTAGTTTTTGAAACATGAAAATTTGGAGATTGAAGCTTCGTCTTCTTTTTCCTTTCCAAACTATGAAATTTTCACAAAATAATAATGCAAGATCACTAAAATCAGTGACATGAATTGTTTTCAAAGCAGAAAAATAACAATATCTGTAACCACGTAAATACGGAAGATCAATACAACTTAGAAAAATAAGGAAATTCAGAATATTAAAGCGGAAGTAGCAATGGTACATGCACACATAAAATGTATATCGCAGATCACTCAACCATTTCATTATAACCACATTATTTTAGCCGCATCAGTGGCTCAAATTTTTTGCACAGAGTGGTTTGTGCAAGAATCACTTCCCTATTAGAAATTATATTTTGTGAACTTTTCAAGTGACTGAGGGTTCTTGCCCTCTTGTTATTTTTCTCAACAAAATACCTGAGTTAAAAAGAAAAGAAAACCAAGGAGATAAAAACTAATCATATTTTCCTCTTGTGCACAAGGACCAAAAGTGGATAATTCCAATATTGGGCAAAATAGAAAGAAAACCACAATGATAAAACATGAACCGTTGAATTGTCCCTCAAATGCTGCATATGTAAGCCATAGCCAGGTATAATAAAAAACAATGAGACACTTTGTTAGTTAAAATTATAAACGGCTTTTGCATTTGAAACCATAAAATACTCACTCTTTGCGTTTTGCCATATCACTGGCTGAAACTCCTTCAGCAGCTGGAGTCCCCTCAAGAATAAGTCCCTCCTAGTACAATATAAAAAGAATACAAATGTTACTCTCCTATTGCATACTAGCTACCACAGCCTGCTACACAAGAGGTACAGAGGAGAAGACAAACCTTTGCCAAGTAAAGATTGCGGTGGTCATGAACCTCTTTTTTCTCTTTCTCCTGTTCCTTGTCGTGAGCTGCTTTCTTGTCCAGAGCTTTCAAAACTTTTAATTGTCTACCCTTCACTAAAATACCCACCCCAGAAGCAGCATTGGCAGCTGAAATTGCAGCATTAGCTGCTTCAACGGTTTTAAACTTAAGAAAACCAGTCCCTCGTGGACGCCTGCATTGAGTAGCAGGGGAGTGTGAATATGAAATATGTGAAATTATGTTATGTTTGTGTGTGATTTTATTTAGGTTTTAAGGTTAAAAGAACTATATTATTTCTACGTTTTTAAGCAAGTTAGAATTAAAATCAAAATTAAATAAAAAATATCCACTTATATTTTGACACGTGTAACAATAACAATAAAAATAAGTGAAACTCGGACCAAAAAAGTATTCTTGGACATACTTGGTCAATGGGTGGAGAACAGGAGCAAAATATTCTACTACTCCAAATGCAGAAAATCGTTGCTTCACTTCTTCGGTCTCGCATTCAAAGGGAAGATTATTTATAAAAATTGTTCTTTGCAAATCATCTTCTGTTTCCTTAGGATTAGATAACCTGCTGGAAGTTTCAGGCTTACAAGTAACTGAAACTTTGTCAGACTCTTTAGATGCTTTACTATCTGCATCCTTAACAGTTTCCTCAGGTTTTGGCTCCTTATTTTCTTCAGAACACATGGAATCCGTATTTACAGGTGCATCTCTGGCAGAGGAGGATGTAATCAAATCATTAAGAACCTTTCTTGCAATGTCTGCTTCCTTGTCAAAATCATCTTCAGAAGGAACATCTTCTTCCACTGCACCATCAATATCACTATCATCTCCTTGATCAGATTGATTGTCGGTACCCTCAACATCGTCATCAGTAGTAGTACTACCATCTTCATCTGTCACCTTTTGTTGTCCTGACAAAATCATAAATGATTTCTTATTTAAATAGTTTGAAACAAAGTTAAAGAATGTCTTACTCCTTCCGTAACGATTTATAAGCAAATTTGACTTTTTTGGTACATTTGACAATTAATGTATCTAGTCTATATGTAGACTAGATACATTAATTGTCAAATGTACCAAAAAATTCAAATTTGCTTATAAATCGTTACGAAGGGAGTATTAAAATAGTTTGAGCATATAGTATTCTAGAGTAGGGTACAGATTTCAGACAATGAATTTCAAATGAAAAATAATAATGAATAAACCCAGGAATATATGTATTTACTGCTGATATGCATTTTAAAAAGAATTGGACTTTTATGCTTTATGATTTTCTTTGATCAAGTCAATTTTTAATTCAAATGAATCTAGAGTAAAAACAATCCAAATATACAGAACTTTTCCAAAATCCCATGTCATATAGAGATACGAATAGTCGATAGCAGTATCATTTCCACTTAAGAAACAACTTACCTTCCTCTGAAGCAGGAGCATCAATGCCATCACTACTAAATATCTTTTTCGGAACAGCCCAGTCAACAGCTATGAGACGACTCCCAAACTTCGATCCATTGAGCTTTCGAATGGCCTGATGCAGTAACAGGAAACTTATTTACTGGTGATTTTAGAATACAAAACAGCATGTAAAGTAAAACCTTTGAAACAGTTCATACATTTTCAGCATCTTGCTTGCAGGTAAACTTTACAAATGCGAAACCCTTTGAAAGACTGCACACGGGAAATAAACGAGGGAAAACAGCTTAAGAAAACATAATTTATAGTACTATACGGAAACAATTTATACCAGGAAAAGAAAAGGATTATATACCCCGTGTCGGACTTCTGTGGAATGAATACCTCCCATACAGGCCCCGCAGATTTAAACACATCACTTATTTCATTTTCTTTGGCCTGTCTCAATATTTAGTTAATAGTTAGGAAACAAGGTCTCCAAAAAATAGTATTTAATGTTCAATAACACGAAAGATCAAACCTTGAAAGGAAGGTTTCTAACAATAAGCTTCCATTTTTGAGTCTTGGATCCCTGACATGCATACAACAAAAATGTTAACAAAAAAATTCATTCATGATCATATCGTTAAACAAGGAAAAGTTAACTTTACCTATGACCAAATTATAAATCAATACGAAAAAGAAGGCAAAAAAATTTTTTTAATAAAGCATGAGCACAATGAAGTCATTGTTAGAAACTGGTTTACGATATTCAAAATATAGGAAGAACATAGATGATAGAAATGTTGGGCCGGAAAAATTAGCACAATTTCTACTTTAAAGAGCTGATTGTCACATATCAAAATCGGCTAAAAGGAAATTAATCCAAACAATTTAAAGAATACCTTTCTCTAAAAACATGAGAAATTTTAGTAAAAAGGTAAAAACATGAGAAATTTTAGTTAAAAAAACATGAGAAATTGGGACTGCACCGAAAAGAAAACATTTTCAATGCTTTAGAGGCATCACATATCACAAATTCCCATGACGTAACTTCCTATTTGTTAAGATAATGCATGCACTGATGCCATATTTTCATGATCGGCTACAGAAAGAAACATATAGTTATTAATTGACTTTTCAAGAGAGGAAGATGAAGAAAATAGGTTTTGAAAATTTGAATTTAGATTTTAGAAGAAAATTAACACATTCCATACAACAACATGAATTCAAAATTTTATGACAAAGCTAAAATATTTTTTATCACTTACAAAGAAAAAATATTCACTTTATGCATATTATTAACACAAATCAGTAAAGCCTCTCCTAATTGGCTAGCAACTATCCCTCAACATAAGAGATACTATCTGGTGGGTGATTGTGATGATATTGTTCTGTGATTGTATCTATGACAAGCACTTTACCTCCCCACCAAGTTGGCGTGCCCAAACAGTTCCACCTCCAATCTCTTTTTTATGCAATGTTGCAACAGCAGCACGAGCTGATTTTACACTAGTATATAGTACAGCTGAAGCATCCGAAGTACAGCCATCTTGCAGCAGACCTGAGAAAATTTTCATAATGACCGTAAGTATCCTAAAAGAAATATAAGAGTTTAAAGGACATGCACTATCAATGTCAATGTAAAACACTGACACCAACTGAGTCCACTATTCTACCACAACATCTTACTCCTTTAAGTATATTATGAAATTGTTTGTATGAAGTGCCGAAACGGCAATTTCTATTTCTTAATAGTTGTCACTGTAAAATAAATTTACACTAGCAGTGCATGCCCCAATAACTCTAAACATAATACATGATTCAACCTATCTGATCGACATCCGAAGTGGAAAACCATCACTTCAGAAATTTTGGTGAAGCAAACACTCCAATGTCCTTACAGCATACTCAATATGGCGATCGTAAGGGATCAATGTTGTTAAATATCTGAAATTTTGGAGTTATACAGCTATAGCATAGTGGAATTTGGACAAACCGCTATTGTTCCGCAATATGCTATTTAGTACAAAATGTTTTCAAATAGCCACTATAGTGACGCTATAGCACTATTGCATGGCGGAATTTTAACAGTCCGCTATTTTCCGCTATCCACAATTGACAACATTGAATGGGATACAATACAACTAGATGTTTAAATAAAAAAAGAAAAGGCTTGCATTAAAAATTTAAACAGTAAGATTGACAACTTTAAAGTACATACAAGAGCAAATCTATATTAGAACATGCCTCATAGTTCATACATTAACTATGAGATGGCTTAACACCAAGTGCAAAACCATGGGAAAATATGAACAGAAAATGACAGAACAACATCATATTCTATTACAATTACTAAACAAGCCAAAAGAATATACTTTTAATGTCTTTTCTAATAATATAACATTAACATCAACATGTCACGCCAATAAATAATCATAATCAGCAGTTACCATGTTGCTGAAGATCATTCCTTGAGAGAGACTTAATAGAGCACACAGTTCCAATTTCCTTGGCTTGACGGTGAACATCTTCAGCCATGGCAGAATTCATGAGACCACCCAATATAACAGTTCTAGCAACCCTGCCAAAAGAAAAAACAAAGAGGAAGGAACAGCATTTTAGAAATGATATACGTGTTCATAATTAAGAAAAGAAACATCCAGAATGTAAGGATCGGACCAGTTCATTATCTCTTAACCATTAATCTCAACCATTAAAAAATCATCTTTCATGGCGGGAGTACAACTAAGAAAAGGGAGAAGAGTAAATACCTCTGCTTTTCTGAGCCACCCCCCTCATCTGCTACATTATTACAAAGTGCTGCTTTTTTTATTTCCACAGGCTTCCTTGAGTTTTTTTGTTTACTCAAAACTATCACTTCTTAAACAAATGAAATAAAATATCAATAAAAAGCAACGAATATATAAATGGGCAACTAGTAAGGCTAATCAAATGCACATGAGTACAGTCACAACCTTCTTCCTTTGGAACTGGAACAGGCTTCTCTGCAACAGGTAATTCACTGTCTTTATCAACAATTTTTGACTCTGTGAGATCATCTTCCTTGCCCTCTATTGCATCATAAAAGAAAGAATGAGAACAAAAAAAGATAGGGGGAAGAGGAACATCAATGACAAGTTCAAATCATTTGTACATCATTCAAAAGCATATATAACATCAAAGCATCACAACATGCTCTATCTGACACATAATTAAAAGGGTAGCAATATTCAACCTTGATCTGGTTTCAATCTTCTATTTTCACGAGGAGGACGGGGCATTGCGTGCTTCACTGCAATTTTTCGGCCACCAACTAATGAACCGTTCTTCAGCTCAATGGCACTGTTAGCGTCAGCCTCAACAGCACTAAAGATGACAGCAATCAATACCAAACCCAGAAAACTACAAATTCTAATACTAATATATGTGAAAGAGAACACACAAGAAAGATTCAATAGACATATTGTGATTACAGATTAGTTTACAGCGAAATACCACAACCACATGCAGCGCGAACATCAAACAAAGACTGGCCTGCTACTATAAAAGGGAACACTATAAAACTGATAAATCTAAATTAAGTTTGCCGCCCCAATATGCAAACCAACAGTACCATCTTGAGCAATATTACTGCAATTTTTCAACATCCAGACAACGCAATCGGATTGCACTTACCAAAAAGGACCAGCTATTTTTTAGTTACAAAGATGATGTTCTGTCGAATACCACTCACTCCAATACTGTCAATCACATATCGCTAAAAATAAGTGTTTACTCAGATTCCACTAAAAACAGTGCTATAATGGTGCTATAGCTGCTATTTGAAAATATTTTAAATTTGTACTCCCTCCGTTCCTTTTTAATTGTCACTTTTTAAACTTTTTACACATACCAAGACAACTAATGATTATTGTTACTTTTTAAACAATGATTTTTTTTTTCTTATTATACCCTTAACTTTTTAATAGTTTATTTAACTTTTTCCCTCTCTATAATAATGATTAGGGGTAATTTTGACAAAACTACAAACAATATTATCTTGAACTTTGAAATGTGACACTTAAAAAAAACAATTTTTTTTCTAAAAAGTGACACTTAAAAAGAAACAGAGGGAGTACTAATTACTAAATAGACAATGAAAATTAGTTCATATTCTGCTATGCTATAGCAACACTATAACTACTTTTTTTTTTTTGAAAACTTGGTATTCTGCCTTGAGACCGACTATTTCAAGGGGACCAATCCCACCGTCCACTAGCGGAGCACTGAATGGACTGACCCAACACAAGAATTGTTAGCACCTAACAGGATTCAAAACTGAAACTATAACTACTATTTAATTTAACAACACCGATTCAGTTTATACATATCTAGCTACTATTTAATTTAACAACACCAATTAATTCTTATACATATCTAGCTTCACTTCAAATCATACATAGCCATAGGCAAAGCAAAACATAAGCGAGAAAAGATAAAATAAGCACCAATAACAAAACAACATAACTAAAGTTTGAAATTGAAAGAGGGCAATAAACTGGTAAAGTAAGACAAGCACGTATGAACCGAACTGAACTTACAATTGGACATAACCGAAACCACGGTGTTGAGTAGACCCTGAGAATGATTAAGCATGGATGTTAGAGGGAAAAAAACATCATTATATCTATCAATTTTGCTTAATTAATTAAAGTTTAGCTCTGTAACACCAACACCTCTGAAAACAGGTGTGTCCGTGTAAGTGTAGGTTAAGTTTAATTTATTATTTTTCAAATTGTTATCGATGTCGAAGTGTCAGCGTCGTGTTTTTGGTGTTTGTGCTTCATAGAAGCTTAGTTACTTACCTTTTTGTGTGACCATGAAGCAACGCCTAACAGGTCCAACTTCACTGAAGGTTTCCTCAAGCTGAATTGAATTAACAACAAGTTAGTATAACAGAAAACAATGGCGAATAAAAATTGAACGAACGAATGATAGAAATTACCTGAGGATTTGTAAAGGAGTAGGGTAAGTTGGAAACAAAGAGAGTCAAGGGGCTTTGTTTCAAGGTGCCGTCGCCATTTTCGTTCCTTGTTTTGTTTTTCTTACCCATATCTCTAACCCTAAATGGTTCAACAGATGAAGGTGCAAATTTCTGCGGAGGTTAGCGGTGGTTGGTAGTGGTGGCGAACTGGTTGGAACGGTGACTGTGTTTTGAATCAAAATTGAAACCCTGATTAAACGCTCATACTGAGACGGGCCGGGTAACCGTGAGATTCATATTTCATCCAACCGGATTTGGGCTTTGAAATCAATGGGTTGGAAACAGGATTAGCTTGGAGAGAATTCAACCTGCCTCCCCTAAAATTAAGAAAATTTCTTTTTCCACTCTTTAGTATAAATAAATATTTTATGTACGAGGATTTTCTAAATTTCCTTTCGGAAATCGGAAATATATTTTTAGTTAACACTTACACATACATAATTCATTCGTTTTTTATATTTATTTTATTTTATGATAAAATTTATTTCAGAAATACATTTTTGAACGCGGAAATACACTTCGATTATGATATGCTACATTATTGTGATTTTTCATTTTTGTACATCTTTCTAAGGTCCAAGTGTGCGATATTATGAAGCTGGTGAAAGGTTTCCATGATTATCGTGAATTTATGATATTGGTACGCGGCATTGTGTGAGCATTAGCCATCACTCCTTTTTGTTGCGTAATTAGAATGCAAAAAGAAACCCTCAAAATTAAATTTGACACCTCCTATATTTTCGTACTAACAAAAATACTTTTATTATTATTTATCCTAAAAAAATTATATTTTTTAAAAAAACATTCACTATAGACACGCAATAAAATTTAAATTTTCAGTATCCTAAACAAAATTTTCAGTATTCATTTTCACGTTCTAACCGAAAATAGTGTAAATCTCAAAATTTCTGAAGATGATTAACCAGAAATTTTGAAAAATATGGTGTTGTTCTGGAAAAACAAAGGAATATACTGGAAAAAAAATTAATTTCCGAGTAGTAACAAAATATTTTGGAATTTTCAGTTTACCAGATATTTATATACTTGAAATTTTCGATATGGCTGCATATAAAATTCTTTACTTGTGTGGTCCATAACCGACAGCTTCTTCTACGGATTCTTGTATATATTTTACAGAGTTCTTCACCGCAGATATCGTATCTTTTCTATGCAACAAATGCAATTTTTAATTATTTTCCTGTTTTTTTAAAACTAGTAGTTTAATATTTATATGTTGTAATTATGGTTGTTTTCGGTTCGGTCCAAGTATTTGCTCTCCCGATGATTGGACTGGAACTCGAATCGGGTAGACCGGGACCGGAGCATAACAGTATTGTTTTTTTTACTGAAATCAGTCTGGTACATTCGGATAAACTGAGACAGAATCGAATTTAACGGGTTTGTATACTGAGAACCGAGACCGGTTCGATGATTTTCGGGCGGGTAACCGGACCACCCAAAATATAAGAACAAAAATTAAATTTCAGAAATTATAACATAAAATTGAAACTCAATTTCTAATATGATACTATCATCATTTTGCTAAATAGTAATGCATAATTTTACTACCCAGTTCACATTGTATCATCATTGGACATTGTATAAATATTACAACACCGTAACAAATAACAACATTGTATCAAAAAAGTTGTTAAAAAATTGTATCAAAAAAATTGTGTAAAATATCATTATATAATGATGCCTCAGAACAAGCTCATCATTGGCATTTTAAATATACATTTTCAATTTGCAGTTGTAGAAGAAGCGAGACCTGAATCTTCACCAAAATGATAAGTCATATGTTCATCTTGTGGTTCCTCAAGCTACAAAAACAAAACATGTATTAGTGAGACAAAATAATAACCAATATACATATTACGTTAATAACCAATATACATAATAATCAATACTTACAATTGAAGTAGTGCAGTATTTCTTAATCTCATATTTCTCCTTCATCAAACCACCTCCACAAAGCACCATTTCAATTGTCTTAGTTTTCATAGATGATCGTTTTGGATCAATAACCCTTTTCCCAGCACTAAAAGTTGCTTTAGAAGCAACAGTAGTAACTGAAACAGTTAGGATATCTTTTGCCAGTTTACTAAGAACAAGATATTTGGCTTCATTCCTCATCCACCATGTTAAAACATCAAATTTAGCTTTAGGGGAACTTTTAAAACTAATAGTTTAATATTTATATGTTGTAATTATGGTTGTTTTCGGTCCGGTCCAGGTATTTGCTCTCCCGATGATTGGATCGAAACTCGAATCGGGTAGACCAGGACCGGAGCATAACAGTATTGTTTTTTTTTACCGAAATCACTCTGGTACATTCGGATAAACTGAGATGGAACCGAATTTAACGGGTTTGCATACTGAGAACCGAGACCGGTTCGATGATTTTCGGGCGGGTAACCGGACCACCCAAAATATAAGAACAAAAATTAAATTTCAGAAATTATAACATAAAATTGAAACTCAATTTCTAATATGATACTATCATCATTTTGCTAAATAATAATGCATAATTTTACTACCCAGTTCACATTGTATCATCATTGGACATTGTATAAATATTACAACACCATAACAAATAACAATATTGTATCAAAAAAGTTGTTAAAATATTGTATCAAAAAACTTGTGTAAAATATCATTATATAATGATGCCTCAGAACAAGCTCATCATTGGCATTTTAAATATACATTTTCAATTTGCAGTTGTAGAAGAAGTGAGACCTGAATCTTCACCAAAATGATAAGTCAAATGTTCATCTTATGGTTCCTCAAGCTACAAAAATAAAACATGTATTAGTGAGACAAAATAATAACCAATATACATATTACGTTAATAACCAATATACATAATAATCAATACTTACAATTGAAGTAGTGCAGCATTTCTTAATCTCATATTTCTCCTTCATCAAACCACCTTCACAAAGCACCATTTCAATTGTCTTAGTTTTCATAGATGATCGTTTTGGACCAATAACCCTTTTCCCAACATTAAAAGTTGCTTTAGAAGCAACAGTAGTAACTGAAACAATTAGGATATCTTTTGTCAATTTACTAAGAACAAGATATTTGGCTTCATTCCTCATCCACCATGTTAAAACATCAAATTTAGCTTTAGGGGAACTTTTAAGGGAGGCTTCTCAAGATATAATTCAATATTAGATTTTGAATTATTATTACCCACAACAGTTTCTAAAAACCTATAAAAATTTCTCCTTCCCAACCCGGAAGTAGATCCTACTTCTGGACTTTTGGATACACCACCAACAGGGGTAATCTCATCATTAGTTCCATAGGTATCTTTATACAATTGGAAGAGGGAACTTAAGTTGTTTGACAACTCTGATTCATAGGTAGTTGCTTGAGAAATGTAATACGGTAAGAGAACTCACTTGGGTGTTTTTGCGTTTGATCGCAATTGTTGCGGATAGCAAGAGTCGCCACCAACTTTTCTTTTATCCAATAAGGAAAGGGTGAAAAGAACATGAAAAACCTTTGATATTATTTCTTGAGTTCAGGGGGTAGATTATGAAAAAGAGAGGTGTTAGCACCCTTTTCATCCATAGTTATCTATGGGCTCTTAGTTGCTCGCTAGATCACTTACTTTGTTTGAAAATGTGCTTTGTGGTGGGTTTTAAAAGTATTTTTGAAAAGCGCCTTCGTTGAGGCAAACTTTGTAATGATTCTCGTCTCTATAAGAATGCATACAAAGTGTTTGACTTTTTGAAAATAGTTCAAAGTAATGTTTGTTTTTGAAAGTGATTTTGAAAAGTGCCTTTGTAATAATTCTCGTCTCTATAAGAATGCATACAAAGTGTTTTTGTCTTTTGAAAATGTTTCAATTGGAAATGTTGGTGTGAAAATGGTTTTTTAGTTGAGAGCAAACGAGCAACTAAGAACGTTCTACTTACTCAAAAGTCTTTTTGTTTGTTTCCTCCTTCCTTTAATATTGCTATCTTACTATAGATTGGTAAGAAGCCTTATATTTGGATGTAAAAGGGACGGGCGTGGGTCATCGTATGGTCATGAATAACAATGTTGTGAGATATCTTAGCATTTCTCTTGAGGGACTAAGATCATTTGTAAGGCAACATTCGAAGCGTCATCAAGGGACTATGATCTTTTGATTGTTTTTTCTAAGACGTCTCACATGCATATTATGACCATTTTCTCAAGGCAACAAGTGAGATTATCCTAGAGGTGCATGTGTGCAAAGTGTATTTGATTGCATGCATTTAGTCTTTTGATTTTGGATTGTCTACTTGTTTGTTTTATCTTGCCCTACATCCTAATTACTAACATTTGTATAAATCAATAAAAATGCACAAAATAAATATCCTACACTATTACAACCATATTGAATAGCAAGAAAATATAAAGACAAAACAAAATAAAAGAAGGGAACATAAGCTTTTCGATCTAGGCAGCAGCGTCCCTTCGATTCTGCCCTTCCCTGCTTCTTTCGATCTGGGTATAGAAGTTAGGATGAGATGCGCTATTCGATTCTGCCTTTTTGCTTCCTTTGATTGTAGGAATATTAGTGTGAGCGAGTAACCTTCGATTCACCCTTCTTGCTGCTTCTTTCGATTGGGCCTGGAAGTCAGTGTGAACACCCTTCGTTTCTCCCTTCTTGCTCCTTCGTTTGGATTGTGAAGCAATATAGGCCTGTAAAGAAGCATGAGTGTGTATCCTCTATTCACGCCCTATTTGTCTTTCGTTTGGGGACTGTGAAGCAGTAAGGGGGTGAAGCCTAAGGCTTGTTTCACACAAAACTTTTTTCTTTCGTTTGAGGTTTGTATAGGTTAGTTTTAACGTATACTTGGACAAGAAAAGCATGCAATCGAAAGGACAGAAATAAAAAGTGAACAAATGTTATTTACATGCTTGAAACAAAAAGGTTAAGGTCATATTGACTTAACTTGCTTGAAGCTGGAACGTGTGTGCTAGACCTTGAGTGGCTGCCCTGAGTGTTTCTAGATTCAAAGGAAAGAAACATGGGTAGTGTTTCTAGTGTTGAATTCGAAAGAAGGAACCAACCATTGAGTTGC